GGGCAACAATGTGCTACGAGGGTATTGAAACACCAAGGATTTCTACAATTCAGAAGAAATAGAAAAAACAACTCTATATGAATTCAAAAGGTTTTCTTTGTGTGCGTGTGTCTGTGCGTGTGTGTATATATATTTGTGTGTGTGTCTATGTGTGTGTGTCTGTGTGCCTAACCCTATCTTGACCCTTGACTGTCCTCACTGTCAGACGGAATAGCCCTAACAGCCTGATCATGTCCCTTCTGCCCATAACAGGTTTTGGTGTCCATTTCCTGTAAATATCAGTAGATGGTAAAGTAAAAACATTGATTAGGTTTATCATTTTACAGCTGAGCACATTTGCACACTTGCATGATATTGCCTGGAAAAAAGTGGTCTGTGGCACAGTGTTGCCCTGAGGCAACGAACAACAAAACATAGTTGTAGCTAATTAATAAATACATAATAAGTCTTTAAACAATCAAATATACTTCTTTATGTATTCATGCACATGTATGTATTTTTTATTTTAAGTTGTGTACATTTATAATATGTTAAAAAGTTAAATGTATCTTACCAAGTGGTGGCCCTGAGTCCCCTGCAGCTTTGCTTGCAGAAAGGACTGCTCCACCCCAAGACAAAATGCCACACCCATATAATTCCCTCCTTTTATTGGACACCAGCATGTCAGGTGACATTGTGTATATTTAAAAAAATAAAAATATTTAGAGGGCCAGTGTGAGGTCGAAAAAAGTGGTTTGTTGCCTGAGGGTAACAGTATGCCATATAGAGGGTTACATTAAGACTTGTAGTTTGTTACTGAACTCTATAATAATTACAGTCTATAGCCTATTACCACACTACAACAAACCAAAGGCTACAGTTCTGAGGTTGTACTTGATTTGATCATTTCCATTCTATTGTAACGTTCCCAAGATGAGTCGGAGACAGGCTTGTAGTTATTAGGCTTTAATAACTAGTATTTGAAGACAGATGATAACAGGTCAAGTACACTTCGTGGGTTCTACCGCACACTAACTTATTTCCTAAACCAACCACAAGATATAGCACTGTCTACGTCACAACTCCCCGCCCTCCCCCGTCCGCTCCACCAACCACAGGCCCGCACCTCAGCCACCATCACGGTGCAGCTCTATGATTGGCAGAGAGACGGGGTATGCCTAAGTGACACCCTGAGTAGCCTATCAGGATCGCTACACTACCCCCCCACTACAAAGTTCCTCGCCCACGAGTTACATATAAAACACAGTACAAAACACTCCCCCCACCCTCTCCAGCTCACTGCAGGGACTACCCCACTGGCTGTCCCCAACCAAACCAGTAGCCTTTGAAAACACAGAAAACCCACCACAAGCCCAGCCCCCACTACAAAATTCCTCGCCTACGAGGAACAACTAAACACAGCCCCACACTACACCTACACACTGAACTTTGACTAGGAAGAGCTGGGTGGACTACCATCCCTTCCAGTGAGACCAGGGCGCATTCTTGCCCTCTACAGGAACTGGGGGGTCTCACTATAACCTTACTACCACACAAAGTCTCTGAAACGACCCGGGGGTCGTGTCTGCCTTCTCGGCAGGGGGGCTGGGGTTGCCGGATCTGGCCCAGGCGCCGAAAGACTGGGGGGACTGCTGCTCTGTCCGCCGGGGGGTCTGCGGAGGGATGTCGATGGGACGTCTGTGTGTCCCGAGGTTCCTTCGGTCTGTGGGGAAGCGACGCCTCTGTACGGAGCCAGCCTGTCTCAGTGGAGCACCACTTTTCTCCCCTTTGGTGGCAGCTGCACCCTGTAGACCACTTCCCCCACCCTCTCTAGTACTCGGCAAGGGTCCACCCACTGACTGTCCAACTTTGGGCACCGGCCTTTCGTTCGTTGTGGGCTGTAGACCCAAACCAGTTCCTCGGCCCGGAAATGCTGCCCTCTGGTCCTGATGTCGTAGTTCCGCTTCTGTCTCACCCCAGCACTTTTCTGCTGCTCGCGGGCAAAGGCATGAGCGGACTCAAGCCGGTCCTGCAGCCTCCTTGCGTACTCAGGACCAGGAGGCGTGTCCAGGGAATCTGGTGGCCGACCAAACGCCAACACCGCAGGGGTTCGAAGCTCTCTCCCCAGCATGAGAAGGGCCGGCGAACAGGCTGATGACTCCTGGACTACAGACCGACATGCCATGAGCACCAGGGGCAGATGCTCGTCCCAGTCGCGCTGATGCCTCGACGTGAGGATGGCCAGCTGCTGTCCCATGGTGCGATGAAATCTCTCTACTAGTCCGTCGCTCTGTGGTCGCAGGGGGGAGGTGCGTGTTTTGTGAATGCCCAGTTGAGAGCACATGGAGGCGAACACCCGGGACTCGAAATTCCTCCCCTGGTCACTGTGCAGGGTCTCCGGTACTCCAAACCGGCTGAACATGCCGGACACCAAGGCATCCGCGACTGTCTCTGCTTCTTGGTCAGGGAGCGCATACGCCTCTGTCCACTTTGTGAAGTAGTCTATGGCCGTGAGAACGTAGCGGTTACCCCTGTTTGACAAGGGTAGCGGCCCCACCACATCAACCGCTACTCTCTCCATCGGCTCCCCGACGGGAGATTGTTGCAGCAGAGCATGGGAACGCCCCGGGGGGCCCTTCCGTGCCGTACACGGATCACAGCGGCGACAGAAGTCTTCGACATCCCTCCTGCACTGTCCCCAGTAGCAGCCCTGACGAAGGCGGCGGAGGGTCTTAGTGACTCCGAAGTGACCAGAGCCTGCCGTGCCATGCATGGCCTTGAGTACGACCTCTTGCAGGACCCTAGGAACCACCACTTGCCACCTCTTCTCCCCCGTTGCTGGCTCCTTCCACGCCCGCTGCAGTACGCCCTGACACATACGTAGAGACTCAAACTGAGACCACAGCCCCTTTGTTGCTTTGGAGAGCGCTGCCACTTCCTCCCACGGTGGCCGCTGCTGCGACTCAACCCACTGCAGTACAGGCTGAAGAACGGCGTCCAGCTCTTGCTGTTGCTTCCACTCTGACGCAGCCACTGTCTGGAGCTCCCTGCAGATAGCCCAGTGATTCCCACAGCATGTTAATACTTTGGGGGGCCCCCAAAGTATAATGGCTCCCCCCAAAGTATAATTTGTGTGTTTTTTTGTTTTTTTTACTCAGTGAGCACTCATTTGCATTGGTGGCAATGAGTGCTCAGTGAGTAAAAAAAACTTTAAAAACCATAAATTATACTTTGGGGGGAGCCACCCATAAATTATACTTTGGGGGGAGCCATTATACTGGTAAACAGCCTCTATGGGCGCGAGTCCAGACCCACTTTTGGAATCAAATGATGACGTCAGTGGGATTATCTCCTTTATCAACTCCTAAGCATCCCCGGGACAACATCACTAGCCCTGGCCCTAAAAAGGTGTGAACTTGAGCCAATCAAGGACTACTACTACTAGGTCGTCCTTAGACGAGTTTGCCAACGGGTTCGCCAATCCTCACGGTCCTCCATACACCCGGCCAGCTCTGTGGAGCTTTCCACCCCCACATCCTTCCTCAGCACCTCCACGTATGTTGGCGTGGGGCGCCCTCTTGGTCGGTGCCCGTGTGTTGGCTCCCAGAGTACTAACTTGCCAGCTGGAAGTTCCTGGTGTCGATGGCAGTGACCTGCAAATTTGAGTTTGTCACTTAGCCTGGGTAGCCCACCAGGACTAGCCCCGCTCCTACATTTTTGAGAGATTTCTGAGGAGATTCTTTTTCACGCACCCCACCCCACCCCGAGTCGTTCCCCCAAAGTATATTTCATTTCTGCGGGAATCACTGAAGCCTCCTCCACTTGCTGCGCTGCCGCACAGACGATGTCCTCCACCAGCAGCTCCTTTTCGCGAGTCTCTCTCTTCTCGCAGTAGTGGCATCCGCCGGCGGCACACGGCCGCCGGGAGAGGGCGTCTGCATTGGTGTGGCGCACCCCAGCCCGGTGCTCCACCCTGAAGTCGAACGATTGGAGCTCTTCTAGCCACCTGGCGACCTGCCCTTCTGGCTCTTTGAAAAACATTGCAAATATGTAATCAAGTGTGAGCTGTCTATGCTACAACTATACTACTACTACTATGACTACTACTACTACTACTACTACTACTACTACTACTACTACTACTACTACTACTACTACTAAACAGAATCAAATAGACAGCAGAAGGAGAAGGGAACAGGACGAGGCATGTTGGTGCCATGTGTCAGTCTCCCTGGAAAAAGATGAAAGGGTCTACCCTCTGGCAGAGTATGATGACAGGGTACCAAACATAGTTCTTCTCCCAATACATTTGTATTTCCACTAACCAATTTTACAATACTGACAGTAATGTTTTGCAAATCAAATGTTTTGCATACACCAAACCAGCATTCTGTTTGTTAACTAAAAATGCATTTAATGTAAGTCTTTGTATTAATCCTTAAAGCATGTATAGCTGTTTAGTTTATTTTAAATTGTATACAGAAATCATGATGATTCAAATAGATACTATTCCTGATTACAATTTCGGACTTGTAAAATGGCTTACAATAGGCGTAATCTGTCATTTACTCTGTAAAAACAAATATGTTAGGCCCGATTAAAAAAAATTGTTAAATACAAAAAATATACAGCACACGTGTAAGCTTATTGGTCTTCATTTTCATGCCACTAAGAAATATATAAATAAAAGACAAGTACGCTATAGCTATCTCTGAATCAAAATGGCATTGTTCAGCAGTGTAATCCTTATCAAAACATTATTTAATGTCCACAATTTTTACAAACAACATGAAAAGCGATTATCTAATTTGAAAATAAAAGTTATGACGTGTAAAAATGTGCTTTGGAAAACTTTGAGTCAAAGTGCCTGACGATGATAGGCTACTTTACTGCATAATTGTAGCCTATTTTCTTTGTTACGTTTGGAGTTTATAACATGCATGCCAAACTAAAGAAACAAACCGTTTGCAGCCTGAAACTATTAAATGTGGATACAGGCAGCAGTCTGATGGGGTGGGATGATAACTGGGAGGCGCCTGCCCTTTCATTAACCCCCCGTTTCCTCCACACCTCATTGTTTACACCTTCAAATCCAGACAAAAGAGCAGCAGCTCTGCAGACTTCACTCTATTCTCCGGTGGAACAAAAAACGACAATGTTAGTTTCTGTGCTCTGCTTTATTCTGTTTGGAGGAGTCACCCATGCCTCTGACACCGCGGCTCCCCAGCTCGGGCCGTCGTCGCTGGGGCTCAGTTCCTCGGTCCGCTCGGTGTGTAAACCCATCCCGAGCACCCTGTCTCTGTGCCACGGGATCGGCTACAGGCAAATGCGGATCCCCAACTTGCTCGGCCATGACACCCTGAGAGAGGCCCAGCAGCAGTCGGCGGCCTGGCTGCCCCTCATCTCCAAGCTGTGCCACCGGGACACCAAGAAGTTCCTGTGCTCGCTGTTCGCTCCGGTGTGCCTGCCGGAGCTCGGAGGGCCGGTCAGCCCGTGCCGGGGCCTGTGCGAGGCCGTACGGGACGGCTGCGTGCCTGTTATGAGCGCGTTCGGATTCCCGTGGCCGCAGATGTTTAACTGCACCCGGTTTCCGCGCGGGACCGAGTTGTGTATACCGGCAACCGGAGAGCACGAAGGGCGGACAGCGGATGAGGTCAGGCACGAGGAGGCGCTTAAAGGTCAGTGGACGGATCTGTAGGTGAAATAAGCATATTTTACTCGAGTTACGTGTAATCCACATTTTAAAGTAGGCTGATCAGTCTACTTTAAAGTCAACTTTGTAGGTAGGCCTAGGTAAAACTGTTTTATATTAGTGTCAAAATATGTATAGGCTAGTATTTTTAACTAGGCTATCAAAAGTAAAAGTAGGCTAGCCTACTTATTTTGCAGTGGCCCATTTCAAAAATAATACATACCACAACAATATTATTGTATTCATGAATGTGTTCATCACTTTTTTGTTGCAGCCTGGTAAAGGTGGAGCTCATTTAAATTGATTTATAGATTAATTGGTTGGTTCATAAAAGGTCAGATATTGATAAAAAGTGTCCAGCACTGCATATTTTCAAAATTCAATATGTCATCACTAATTAGCTAATAGTAAAATGAATTGACAATAGTAAAGACATTTTTGAGCTGATTTGGAAAGTGTCTCTATTAGCCTATATAGATTGTCCAATTTAGGGTCCTTGGCAAAAATGTTTGTTTGTGTCATGTTGTTTCTTTTTTCTTTTAAGAGACACTATTTGGCCTTTAATCAATATTAATATTTGACCTATCTACATACCTACCTCATACAAAAGTTAATATGTTGCTAACTGTGTTGAATCTTTGATTCTTTGAGTGCTGTAACAACTGAAATGTCCCTTCCGGAGATCAATGAATTCTTATTTTATCCAATGTTATCTTTAAGTTGTATTGCATGCCTTGATCCTGGAGTTTCTGCTCTTTAACATCCCCACCACAGACGCTCACAGTCATTGAATACTCTCTCTTTTCCTCCCCCACAGGGAGTGTTATTTGTGATGCCTGCAGTCTGGCTGCTGAAGGAGAATCTGACATCCAGGAAAACTTCTGCCAAAGTCCATATGGTGAGAAAAAACTACTTATTTGAATGAACTGATTAGAACACGGCCTACCAATCTGCATTATTGCTTTGATTAGAAAGCAAATTACACTAGACTTACATCACAAAGCAGGCCACATCACATCAAATCATTGAGATGGGGAGATTGTTTTACAATGTGTCTGAAGTGGCACCTGTTGAATAGCATTGTCTCTGTCTCTGTTTCAGCTTTTAAGATGCGTCTGGGCAGTGTGACGATGGTGGGAGGAGACCGTCAGCTGGTGCCTACGGCCCGCAGCCGCATCCTGAGATGGGCAGGGGGAGGTGCAGAGAGGGCAGAAGGGATTGGAGGCGCAATGGCCCACAGCGCTTTGTGGCTGCAAGAAGGAGGCACCTGTACTTGTCCTGGTTTAGACTCTGCAGTGACAAATGAAGACGGAGGGTTAGAGGAGGGACAGATGGATAAGACAAAAGCAAAAGAAGGAGAAAAGGAGATGAAAGGGGTCCAGAGTGGATGGTACCTGGCCCTGGCTCAGGCTGAGGAGGGAAGACTAGTGCTGACTCGACTGGTGAGGTGGACCAGAGGGGACAAAGATCTGAAGAAGTTCATCAGATCAATGCTCAAACAGTCCTGTTCGGAGATGTAGACAGCGTGTTTTCAACCATTGCAGTCCTTCCTATGAACATAGCTTTGTGGTGCAGTGTGTTACTGTGTGCTGTTCACTGCAACACTTTTATATAATGAACAGCTGACAAATAGTTAACGCATAACACTGACTAAATCCCTTGTTTGCAGATCGTTAATGTAAATTAACCAATTATTCAGTAGTTATCTTAATCTGTTTGCTAGTGGCTTTGTTGATGAATTGTTCCTGATTAAGGGATTAAGGTGCTAAATGCCACACACTCGATAACAATTGAGTCTTCATTCATTAGTACATATATTTTGTATTACTTTACTCCACAAGTGAAATACAGTATAGTTTTAACAAACTGACAAGCAAGAGTTTTACAGTGAACAATTATTAGACATATAGCTAGTTTTTATACTTTTTGTAGTGACCCCATTATTGTGGAAATATTAAGCACATAGCGATAGTTAGGCAATGTTGCAAACGTTACTACTGCCAAAAAGTGTAAAGGTTGATTTAATTCCAAATTGGGCAATATTGGTGTATTTTCTTTTGTATTTTGTGTATATTTGTATATATAAGAGATCACGAAGGGTTACCTTTTAATCAAGGTCAAAGGGTTTGGTAATGATTGCAGGGGTTTAGGCTGATCTCATCGCATATTTCCTTTTGATACTTATGAAAGGTGGGGTAGGTAATTCACTTCAGAAACACTTTTTGTTATATTCGATGGAATGCTCTTAACATTCCCCAAAAGCAATGAATATATTAAATGCTTGGACAATAAATACATTAAAAAAATTCACCTATGGAAGCCGTGGCGCTGTAAAAAGCACGACCAATTATATTAGCCGGCCCGGCTAAAATAACTGGATGGCCTACCTGCCTGTCAGCCTTCCATCTCGTGCACAAACTTATCTCGTGCCCTCATTGGTCATCATGTGCACGTCATGTGTGTTGGAGGAGGGGCCCTGTAAGGAAGTCTGAAGGAAGGGGCAGATTTTTTTCAGCTGCGTAGTTTCAAATTCTAGCGCACTCGAGCTGGTTTCTCCTTTCTTACCTACCCTACCTTTAAGGGTGGAGCAGTCAGTGTAATTGTTGTAATTCCTGTAATGATAACTTTGTTTTCTTGTACTACCTATAACAACGTTGTTACTATCCACGTTAATTATACACCACACAAATAATAGACATGCAAGTTTTTGTTGGTATTTTATCTTTTTTTTCACAGTAGCCAGGTCTCAGTATTTAATTGAGTTAAATCACATGTTAGGAAGGTTTAATCTCAAGGGACATCAAAAAAGAAGCACTGAACAAAAAAAGCAAGTTGGTTGTGAACAATAAATCATGTAGATCTTTTCCTGTCTCTATTTTTGCATTCATTTTTTCCTGATCTCTGTCAGCTCTGTCAACACATGTTTTTTTGTATAAAAACTTTCATTCAGAAAATGTATTGATATTTTAAGAATTCATCTTTTTTATGTATTTGTGTTCTGCTTGACGTTTTTATCATGACTCAGTGAAGAAAGAAATTTGATTCCACACAGTCCCACACCTGTTGCTGTTTACTTGGTATATCAAGTGTCTCACATTGTCTCACCGTCTCTGCTCCGATCTAAAGTATTGTCCATTTTCCAAATATCTGGACAAGATGCTATCTGTTTGTCTGATCAAAAATGACAGACACTAGTTTACCAGCTACATGGTCAGTTATGTCCCTGTAAAAAGTCTATTAAATGGAAATAATTACAGGATATGTAGTGTCATACACGTGACACATGAATTATTTAAACCCCCAGGTCTCTTACCTTCTCTAACACACACACACACACACACACACACACACACACACACACACACACACACACACCTCTCTGTCTTCAGTCACTGAAGGGCCACTTTCATCTTTATCATCTGCACTGTTACTCTGCTTAAGGCTAATTTATCAGAAAATAGGTGAGTTTGTCTTCTTTTTTTCCATTGAGCAGTAAGTGAGACAGTATTTGGATTTAAATACTTGTTAAAGAGTCTGTTCTACGCGGTGCAGAAAGCCTGCGGAGTCTACGATTACCTGCAGTAGTAGAAACATCAAGACAGGCACAGCGCTTAATCTCACATCTACCACAGGACTCAGCATGAAGTTTGTTCCTGTGTAGATATAATCTTGCATACATTAAAAACTCCAAAAGTTTATCTCAAAATGTGGTCACAGAAATGTTGTCACTTAACAAAAATATTTATTTACTTTAATTCACAAATTAGTTTTCAGTATCTTGATGGTCTTACAATACCAGTTTTCAGTATTCTCACATGTACCTTACAATGATATCCCCTTTTTCTTCACATTAACAAGAGATTTGTTTGTTATTTATGTATGATCTTTCAGTAGTTTTGTCGTAACAAATTAATGGTTGGATCATTTAACACATGGGAGATTAGAGAAGAACCACATTAGCTTGAGACCACATGAGTCCTGATGTCACAGAAAGTAGGCCTAATTGTCCATATTCATAAAAATCTGCACGCAGGAATCAGCATCGTGCTTCCATAAATGTTGATAACCTGAGAAGACAAATGACCCACTTCCATTGACACTATAACTACAGACAGTTTTTCAAACCTTCAATACGGTAATACCTGTTTGTGCGTCAGATTATCATAAAAGCATTGATGACTATCAGGATGTATTGGCTGTATCATGCTGCAGTTATGGGAGGTTATACTATTGTTTGGCAATAAATACTGGTGATAAATACATAAGTTCCTACTCCACTTGACTATTAATATCAGAGGGCAACATGGCAAGGTGATAATAATCATAATTGTTGTATTTATACAAAAAATTAGGGTGATTTGTTGATTGATAAAGTTGTTTTTTGTCCGTGTTGCCTTACTTCCTCACAGCAGAAGCAGGGCAGCAGAATTAGATAAATCCATGGAAGTAAAACAAAGAGTAGGGCAATAGCAGGAGAAAAGTCCTGCTGCCAAACTTGTAAAAGCACATGAATACATTTCACCCACCCATAGTATAAATTCATATTATAAGTTAAAATAACAACTTTCTACCTAATGTTCTGATCACAACTGAGTGTCTTGTGAATGTACCTGTGTGTTTTTCTTTGTACAGGATGGTGTCCCCTGCTATTGCTCTGGCCTTCATCCCCCTCCTGCTGACAGTGCTCATCAGGTGCCGTTTCTACTTTGTGCTGTTCTATCGGGCGGTCCTGGTCAGGATCTGGAGGGACTGTGTTACCGGCCTGAGTCGAGAGGAGCGTGCCTACCAGTACGTTCTCACTCACGCCACCCCCGGAGACCCCGACAGCATCCTGGACGCCTTTGATGTCTGGTGCAGCAAGATGGAGTTCATCAGCACCATTGGGCCTAAAAAGGGTGAGGAGATCATTCACATTAAACAACAATTGATCTGGTCACAAGCATGATTTTACATGATGTGTTTTGGTGTGTAGGGAAGGTCCTGGACCGGATGCTGATGGAGCAGAGCCCTCTGACGGTGCTGGAGCTGGGCTCTCACTGCGGGTACACCACAGTGCGCATCGCCCGCTCTCTGCCCTTGGGTGCCAGGCTCTACAGCGTGGAGATGGACCAGAGAAATGCTGCTATCGCCGAGAAAATTATCCGCCTGGCAGGGTTTGACGATGACACGGTGAGAGAGCAGGAACATTTAAACACTTTATGGTATCCATTGCTCTCCATGGCCATATGTCTTCTCCTTCACTTGTTTAAATCACATACACCTGTTTACAGTCCACTTATTTATATATTATTTCAATAAGCAGTATTTTATTTCATTTCTCATTCTGTTTTATCTTATTCTATTATACATAGTTAACATGCTGTATATCGGTCATTTCTTGAACCATTTGGTTACTTTATTTTATTATTTATTTTATGTCTTAAGTATATTGTATTGCACTGTTGGCCTGGCCTGAGACTAAATACTTGAATTGCAGACATTTACACTGTGGCTAATGTGCATATGACAATAAAGCCTTTGACTCCTGAATTTTTGAACTGTCTGCCTTTTGATAAAAGCCCCAAATGACCTATCTACAGGCCATCACCATAATTTGATTAAAGTTGTATCTGGGACATTTATATTTCTTATTTTTTAAGTATTATATTATATGTGTTATACCTTTTGAGTTATTCACGATGTATGTTTTCCAGGTGGAGCTCATCGTGAATCCATCCGATGAAGTGATACCTCGGCTGCGGTCTGAATATGGTTTGGAAAGGCTGGATTTTGTCTTCATGGACCACTGGAAGAAATGCTACCTCCCTGATCTGCAGGTAACTAGAACAAATAAGGGTATTTAAATATGAGTTAAGCTGAATGTTTACTTACAATTGAAAGCTACTTAAATAGTTTGTAATAGCTATAATCCATTCCATTGTTACCTGGTCAACTGCCTTGATCACATGATACTGCCTCTGTGTGTGTGTTACAGATGTTGGAGGGTACTGGTCTGCTGGGAAAAGGGTCTATGATCGTGGCCGACAATGTGCTGTTCCCTGGGGCGCCAAAGTTCCTCAGATACATTCGGAAGAGCGGCCTGTACGAGTGGAAGGTCCACCGTGCCACACTAGAGTACAGCCGAGGCATCAGGGACGGGATGGCTGAGCTGGTGTTCCAGGGAATCAAGTAGATCATGCAGACTGGGACATCATCCCACACTTCAAGTCAGGTATACTACTATAGAGTAGCTAGCAAAGGATGAATTCATTACGGTAAAAACATTTATTAAACTAAATTTTAATGGTAAAGACAGTTGTTAAATCCCCGAAAGAGTTAAATTCACCATAACATTGTGGCATGCCAGTGTGTTATATTATGAAGTTGCATTGTATCTGTTATTTCCTAAGTAACTTCCTGCCAGCTCCCCCTCCTGGCTAAAAAGGAGAATGATTAGTGAAAGAAACTGTCATGTAACACTTGTATAACCCCATTGCAACTCTTGTCTTTATACAGAAATAAAAACCATTATACCTGCTTAGGATCTTTGTCTCAAAATATTGTGTTAACATAACCCCCACATATTGCGGCACATCTTAAATTCACCTACCCCTTTATCAGTACTGGAATCAAGTCAAACCACACTCGATAGAACCAGGTTACATTTTTGGTGTTTAAAACAACAAAATAATTCAAGTGTAGACAACAGAAAAAACATGGTTTCATCAAAATTAGTTAATTTAATACAAAATATTAAGGCTTCTGTTCATTTCAATACAAATAAAAAAGTCTTAGTAAGCCACCTGTGAACATAAAAATGAGAATATTTGGATGGACATTTTATACAACTGACATTCTTCCAAAGTAATATTTCTTCACTCTTGACATAGTGAAGAAATATGAAGATGAATTGCAATATTGCATTGTATGAAAATAATACTATTTAACAAGCTTTCGTAGGATGCCAATCAGAATATGATACCAGAAACAAAACATTAGCAGCATTCTCAACACTATAAAACAGCATCATATAATATGGTGGTAAAGTATCTGTGAGTCTTCTTCATAGGTAACAAATTATGTAGCTGACTAAACTGTTGATTGTGCTCAGTCAGCTGTTTGGAGAAGTAACACATGACTGAAGATACCACAAGGTCAAAGTTTTAATGAGAGATCACTTGGCTTAATTATACTGCTGCCACAGCATGGGTGTGTGTCCGACTGATCACAAACCAGCAGGACCTTGTGTGTGTATGTGTGTGCGAGCACAGGGTGGCAACACTCACATCTAGTTCAACGGCGTTCAGAGCCTTCAAAGGCAGTTGGCAGCTTCAAAAGTACTTTTTGCTGGATTCCCCCAACATCCTTTGACTCAACTATATGTTTGTCCTGTTTGCACAAAGAAATAAAAAGACATCTGTGACACAGACTGTGCAGCTGCTGTGTTTTCGGGTGGGGAGTAAAAATCCAGTGCCAGTCATCGCTGGAGACTAAAATGTTCCTTTGTCTTAAATCATCCATTGTCCTTGGTCTTGATCTGGTCCCTCCATGTCCACCTGATCGAAATAAAAACAGTCAGATTAAAGACAAGTATTTCTCAGTTCAAGGAGAGGAAAAGTAGCAGAACTAAAATAAAATAACACTTATTGCAATTGCCCTGTACACAAGTCTTGTTTCAGTTTGAAAAGCATCTTATAACCATAGGACCTAATGATGAGAGTTTTTTTTAACCATAAAATATATATATATATGTAAAGTACAAAGTATGCAATGCTTTAAAAAAGTGGTATGACCTCAATGGGAACCAGACCCGGCGTCATGGGCGGGCCCCATGGGGCCGGGCCCGCCCATCCAGGATTTGGGCCCGCTGTTTTAATCAGGGCTGAATACAACATTTTAATTGTTTTGTTCAGTGGCGGCGCCAGGGTATACTGGGGTAGGCTACAGCCATACCAACAAAAATGGCTTAGACCCACCATGAAAAATGATGTTAAAGTTAGCAAAATAAAGTCCGCCAACTCGCGGAGTAAATTGCACAGACAGCAGTTAGTAAGATTGATTTCAGTAGCCACTTGTCTGGAAATACCGAAGACCAGAAACGGTTTTGAAAACTTTTGTCACGTAGTGATCGTCTTCTCAATAGAACATCTTTGATAATGTCTTCTGGCCAATCAGAATCAAGATAACGGCGTGGTGTTGTTGCAGGAAGTCCCGACGGAGAATACTTTTGCTGTAGTACATCTCTATATAGGCCTACATCGATACAACATTACGTGTTGATAGAAATCAACACGTAATGAAATAAGACCCCACGGTTTGATGATTGATAGGTGTGTGGGATGTAAAGTAATTCACACAGCCTCTTCTCTCTGTGAGGAGCAGCAGGTTCAGCTTTCAGAACAAAGTAACAAAAAACTAAAATAGCATTAATTTTTTTAAATATGTCGTGTAGTAATAGATTTTTTTATTTTTCTTCTCAAGAGAGTACCAGAATGTGTATTTAACATTAGTATTTCAAAAAATCTCTGCAGGGGTTGGGTTTTCAGCATGTCAACTCTTTCACCTGTGGAGAAATTGCAGGATTGGCTCCAGGTCGCCCTTTTTATTTACTACAAGACAAATGTGCCTTTTTATTTCATACAGCTCAATTTGGGTTGAGACAGGGAAATAATCTAAACCTCACGCGTGGCGTTTCACTGTCAAGGGGAGCGTGTATGTAATTACATTGCAAATACTGACTTGAGCCCCACCACTGTATGGGTTAGCCCTAGCATAGATTACCCAACAAAAACACTCTGGAGCCGCCACTGATTATGTTTATTGTTGTTATTTGTAGGGCTTTGTCCTAATATTTATGTCTATGTTGAAAGATTAGTTTAATATAATTTTTTTTATTTTGCTATGAAATTCTGAATGAAAGGCTGCGCGCGAGACTGGTTTTTCGCTGGGTTGAGTCGTGTGGGTTTTTGAGTGAGATGCGGCACAGCAGTCTGTCAGTTTACTCTTGCTAGGTTAGTTTGGCTATTATCATTTATATTTATCTGCAACAATGGATATCAGGAAGTGGTTCATGAAAGGAATATGGCAACACAGCGCCAGATGCAGGCACATTAGAAGACATCAGTTACGTTACCAACGAGCTAGCAAGCCAGCCAGGGACAAGGGAGGCAATCAATTATATTTTGAAGAGAAATTGACTCATGCCGGCTCTCTCAGAAACTCCTGCTCTGTGCACAAACAGACCGCTGCACATGCTCTCTGCCTCGCTCAATCTCTCTTTCTCTCCCTTTCTCTCCATCGCTCAACCTCTCCACCCTGTGTGCGCTCCTCAAGTTTGCCTGCGTGCTTGCCCAAGTTGGCACCGCGTTACAAATGTACCACAACACCAACCAATGGATGTAGCCTATAATAAGACCGTCAACAGCCTTATGGCAACCTAAAACCCCTCTGTTTCCGTAACAACAATTCACGAGCGCCTCCCTTACCCCCACCCCCGTTGACAATTCAGATTTCCCGGGAAATGTAAGTTTCAAGGTGGGCCCGCCCTGGTAAATCAAATGCCCGCCCAGAGACGTATGTCTGCCGCCGGGTCTGATGGGAACCCCTGTGAATGTTCTATGCATCACACTTGCATTGGTTTCAAAGAGGACCTGCACCTTTATGTGTGAACGCAACTTCAGAACATACAATGCTATGGTTTTCCTATTTTTTCTTTAACAATACAATTAAGAGGGGTTATAAGAGAGATTGATTGTTCCTTCCTGAGACCAAATGTTATCCACAGTCATCCTCAGTCATTTACTGTACTGCTTTCTTGACTGCCAAGTAAGGACAAGACTTTCTGAAAATCATAAATCAAAGCACCTCATTGATCTCTCCGTCATCAGGTGACTCATTGTAGTCATTCATCTCATCCATGTCCTGCATGTCCTCTTCATCTTCAGAGTCTTCCTCGCTGTCCTCTTCATCCTCGTCATCCTCCTCTTCCTCGTCTTCATATCCTGCCTGCGATAACACAAGGAGAACATCTTAACACTGTTTTCATACAGTGGCCTGGTGAAAGTCCAGAGCAGCATTTTAATTAAAAATGCCCCTGCTGATAATATGTTGAATACCAATACATTACCTCAAAAACAGGTTTCCCAATGGGCATGAGGTTGTTGTCTTTCTCAGCAATGCTCTGCAGCTGAGAAAGACAAAGACCACAATACAATATTACAGTTTAAGTCACTATAATGACAGTTTTTCTCCTCTTTCAGTCTAATAAAAAACATGTCCACTAAATGTGTTGATTTTGAATGTGTGTGATAAACTGAAGGATGAAGGACATGAATAATATGTATAAATGTAAGTCATACAATTAATAATTTAGGCAAGATTCTTCAACAATGGACGTCCATGTGCTCTGGTGCAATTTCAGAAGTGTTTCTTTATAGGTTGATAAAAGAGTTTAGAATTAGCACAATCTTAAAACATTTAGAGCAGTGAAATGCAACATACCCATTAATGCAATTGTAATATTCAATCAAAGCAAACGCATATCAATAATAAAACACTTACAGGTCCTACATAGGTGAATTATGCTGGGTTGTAAATGCTTTTACTTAAAGTATTTTCAGAAGTTGTTAGCACTTTTTCTAAATGATCTGAACACTTCTTCCACCCCAGTTGAGCAGAGGTGTTTACCCAGGTTTGGTGCTGCTGCTCCTGCTGGTGCAGCTCGGTCTCGTCCACACAGGGCCGGTCGAGGTTGAACCAAAGGGTCTCGGTTATCCGGGGGAAGAGAGAGGGGAACAGCGTGGACATGTCTGTCACACAGGGACAACAATAAACACTGTGTCAATCAGCAATAGTTTAGCATGGGTTTTGGGATAATAGTTGGCGAATTTACACAAAAACAAAGAGTTAAATCACGTTTCTAAAATAATTAAGTCATGATGAAGTATACATAGGATGTGGATGGACATGGTACGTTAACGTAACAAAAACCTAACGTACGATTTAAAGTCTTTATGTCTCATGACGTGCAAGATAAAACATGTCCCCGCTAATATTCTAGGTAAAAAATAACGCAGTATTGAGGTTTTTACCCGTAATTCAGAGCGAAATTATAAAAAGTGTAAGTACCTGCCAATCCGTCACCCAAGCTTTCAAAAATTTAAAAACACATTAAACCGGAAACGACGGATGTTCAACTGTCAATGTTTCCGATGTCCTCTACTCCAGTGTCCCTTCGCAATGGTTCCGCTTTGGTGTCGGTTGCGGTGGCAGCTGTAACATTAGAGAGGTGAAGCAAAAACATAGATTTACGTTTGTTATTGTGTTAATAGGGGTGTTTGTGAGCAGTTTATATACCAATACAATTATTCCCTGATGTATTTAGCTAGATAATAGGGAATGAAGGAATTTAGGAAGTTTAAATGCTTAATGTTTTGTAGTTGGATAGTTACTAAATTACAATGTGTAGGTACCTTCTTTGAGTATCTCCATTTCCAGCTACTTTATTTTTTAAGAATTGCTCTTATTTATTGTGGCACTTTAAATAGCCTACATTTTGATTCTAATAATGTTGTACTTTCATTTAAATAGAATGTTGACTGCACCTTTTGTATAACAGATAACCACACTGTGGTATTATTACCTTTACTTTTAAATGATAATAGCTAATTAGTTGTACAGCTGTACAAATAATTGGCTATTATCATTTAAAAGTAAGGTAAGTAATAACAAAAGACAAAACTAAAATAACTTGTTTAGTTTCATTCATTTCATTTAGATCTGGGATTAAAAGACTAATGTCACAGCAGGATTTGGAAAAACCTGCCCATGCTTTTAATATCTTCAGTAGACTCGACTACTGTGATGGTGTCTTTGCAGGTCTCACTAAAAAATCTATTAGAAAGCTGCAGCTACAGTAATTCAGAACGCCGCTGCTCGAGTCCTCACTAACACTAAGAAAGTGGATCACATCACTCCAGTTCTGAGGTCTTCACACTGGCTTTCTGTATGTCAAATAATTGATTTCTAAATATTGCTGCTGGTTTATAAAGCATTGAATGTTTTAGGCCCGAAATACATTTCTGATCTACTGCTAAATTATGAACCATCCAGAACTCTCAGGTCTTCAGGGACTGGTCAGCTTTCTGTCCCCAGAGTCAGAACTAAACATGGAGAAGCAGCGTTCCGTTATTATGCCCCAAATATCTGGAACTAACTACCAGAAACCTGCCGGTCCGCTGCAACTCTGACTTTTAAATCCAGGCTGAAGACTTTTCTTTTTGCCACTTTTAATTTAACTATATCTTACACTGCACTGTAACTTTTATTCATGTTTTTAATGTTTATTTCATTATCTTTGCTTTTTAATGACTGTTTTTAAATACCAAGCACTTTGAATTGCCTTGTGTTGAAAAGTGCTATATAAATAAACTTGCCTTGCCTTGCCTTGCCTTACCATTGTCTTAATGTCTTTCATTTTTGTAAAGCACTTTGAATAGCCTTGTGTTGAAAGGTGCTCTATAAATAACTTGCATTGCCTTGCCTTACCATCACGGTCACTTTGCAAACTGTCTGGACAACTTCCAGAGTCACTTTCAAAGAGATAGACCATCAGAAAAATGTCCCCACTAACAGACACATGGGGAAAAAGGTGCTTGCAAAAAGTACAGACATTCAAACCCCTTGGTTTTATTAGGCTTCTCATAAATTAAATAAAACTGTACAATCTCCTATTCAAACAATGGGAATGCAGAAATGATTGATATGTGTGACATCTTCTCTTCTATAAAAGCGTCATCTGAGGGCGTCCCCCTTGAACTTTAACTACTGTAACTACTGACACACACACACACACACACACACACACACACACACACACACACACCACACACACACACACACACACACACGCACACACACACACACACACACACACACACACACACACACACACACACACACTAACCATCATTGGGATCACCAGCACAGATGCAGAAACTTATCTTAACTTCCCCCTTGTTTGCTTTTATTATTGCTTTCCCAGGTCACACTACACATAACAACCATGTGCATGTGTGTGTGTGTGTGTGTGTGTGTGTGTGTGTGTGTGTGTGTGTGTGTGTGTGTGTGCAGGAAAACGAGCAGGGTAGACCTTGAGATAAGCCAAACCTTCCTCACAGTAAAATAAGATAAAGTTCAGATTGTCACATAAGAGCTACATCATTCTCATTCCTTCTTTCTATCTTGAACACACACACACACACACACACACACACACACACACACACACACACACACACACACACACACACACACACACACACACACACACACACACACACACACACCACACATACACACACACACACAAACACAACACACACACACACATACACACACACAAACACACACACACACACAAACACACACATGCACGCGTGCACGCACACACACACAAGAAGCCCTGGTGCAGACTTTGGACTTTGGAGACATGTTCACACATACCCGGATGGATGTGTGTTTTTTAACTCCTGTTTGGTCTTGAGAAGCGTGTAAGTGGTGTCTAGAGACACTGGTTTTGAGGATCATCCCTTCAGGAAGGAATTCATCCCCAAATCTGACAAGGTAAAACACTTTTCTTCACGTTTGCTTGTAGAATTCTTCTTATTCTTCTTACAGTAAAATGATTACAAAAATGCATTGGTTGTTTGGCTGAATTCAATAAGAATGTTTAAAGGTTTTTTGTACAATTTCTGTTACATTCACAGGTCTTGCTTTCCATTGTGTTTTTTAGGTTAGATTTAGCTATATTTTATTTTTGACTACATGTGTCTTTGCAATAGTCATCAAATTTGTTTTAATACTTATACATTAGTCACCCAGTAATGAAAAAAAAAAAAAACGAACACACAATTCTGCTAAAGAGGAGAAAGTGAATTAAATGTTTATTTTTATTTTACATAGACATTAATGAGTGAGGCATCAGTGTGTATCATGTCAAAATATGTTTAGCGGGCTCAATATCAACATTTAAATCAAAACGTAAAGTTAAACATTTAAGTATTAGCACCCCCCGAAGAGTCACAATGTTGGTGTTAACTGTAATACATAAGGTTTCTGTCTTAATTCGTTTATGTAGCGTATTATTATTTTTCTAAGTATTTGAAGTGCACATGTTTCATGGTATGTTATAGTAATGCTAATATGGATGCAGCTTACATGTATTTGTTGTTTTGTGTCTTTGTATAGCTCTTACGTTGGCTTTCGGAGTTTACAATAAATTCGAAATCATCAGTCAAGTATATGACCATCTTTAGGAGGGATATGCTATACATTTAGTAAACAATATGATATTCTCTGTAACTAACCATCTACTCTGATGACAATGTGTTCATGTTTTCAAATGTTACCTTTACGCAAATAATCCAAACACCTGCAGGTTGGAAAATCGTATTGACATTGATTTAAACGTTTTAGTGGTACCGTTATTTACCTATTTATCGATTGATGTATGCCTTTCTGCTGCAGAGCCATGTGGGTTATCCTAGCCTTGCTGCTAGCCCTCTCCAGTGGCGTCATGTCGCAGGACAAACTCAACGTGTGTATGGATGCCAAACACCACAAAGAAAAACCTGGCCCTGAGGGAGATCTTTACTCTCAGGTGATGAACACTCAAATGTCCCCAGAAAGTAACATTTTTGAGTATACTTTCCTTGAGTTTTTCCATTTTATGCTTCTTTATACTTCCACTACCTTTTGGCAGGAAAATGTTTTAATTTGTACTTGTATTTAACAACATTAGTACTTGAATATGAAGTATTGCAGGGTTATATTATAAATACAAAACTAAATCAACTAATACATTATGATGTTCTGTTAATGAGGGAGATACCTGCAGTAAACAAATTATTAACGTTATCTCATCCTTTACCAGCTGCTAAATTAAAATGATAGACCCATTAATGCATAACTAACTATAAACCAGTGATATCATATTTATTATTTTATAAAAAGCCACTTTGGATAATGAGTACTTTTAGATTTGGCAATTAAGTATATTTTGATGCTTACACCTTTTTGCTAAAGTATCATTTTAAATGCAGGGCATTTTACTCTCATTAAAACAATGCTGTTCAACAGCATAAAGTGACCCCCCTTTCCTCTCCCTCTTTCCAGTGTGCTCCCTGGCGTGACAATGCCTGTTGTACTGCCAACACCAGCACAGCAGCCCATAACGATAGCTCCTACCTGTACAACTTCAACTGGGATCACTGTGGTGTCATGAGCGATAAGTGCAAAAAACACTTCACCCAGGACACCTGTTTCTATGAGTGCTCACCACACTTGGGACCCTGGATACAGGACGTGAGTATTTGGCTGAAAGTCTCATTTGTATGTGTGTACTACTTGCAACACTAGGTGGCAGCAAAAGAAGAAGAAAGGACTGAAAGGGGCTTCTCAGGACAGTTAATTCATAATCAGTATGCTTCCATTAAAATAATAAAAAGATAACCAGCTAATATGTGGACACCTTTGGTTACTCCCCTGGCATATCACAATATTGATACTTTGAAAGCATTACGTTTAATTCTAGAAAAATATCACATCTTGTGTGCTATATTTGTTTACTCTTGTACAACTCTTAGTGTTATATTTGTATTTGTATACTCTTGAGTTTTAATCTCAATGAGGCTTTTACTGGTTGAATATATAAAAAACCGCAATAAATAAATAAATAAAATGTGTGCAGGCGGATGAGAGCTGGCGTAAGCAGCGTATTTTGGATGTGCCTCTGTGTAAGGAGGACTGCCACAGATGGTTTGAAGATTGCAAGGACGATTTCACCTGTAAGACTGACTGGCACAAGGGATGGGACTGGAGCTCAGGTAAGCACACACATACACACACAGACAGCCACACACACAAACACACACACTCACAAACTCAGAGCACAGACCTGCTCATATATTAAAAAAAATTACATAGAAATCAAAAACGTATGACTATCTATACACAGTACCATGAACCCACTTACTCATAAACACCTATAGAGGTCTTCCATTACATTTTTTTCTGGCTTTCTGACTAGAACTTTAAAAAAAATCAAATTTCTTCAATTACTTTTTCAATTACTAAATCTATCTTTTGTTGTCTCATTTGCCCCTACAGGTATTAACAAATGCCCTGAAGGCAGCATGTGCAGAAAGTGGACGGAAGTATACCCTACAGCCAAGTCCATGTGTGAACAAATCTGGTCCAAATCCTACCTTTATACCACCCTACCCAACACCTCGGGCCGCTGCATGCAGCTCTGGTTCACAGGGACAAACCCAAACAAGAAGGTGGCTGAGTACTACCTTAACAACGCACAGCAGCATCAGAGCTTTGCCTTGACAACACTTATTCTCATGGCTGGTGCATTTCTCTCTGTAATGATGTAATAAAATGACTTATCCTGTATCGCCTCGGAGGGATCAATAAAACTGATTGCAAATGCCTTCCTGTTACTTTCTTGATGTCAATGAGCCTTCTTACATGTGAACCTGCCACATGCATGTTTTCTGTGTTTTACATTTCTAAGTGCTATTCCGCATATCCTTATTAGTTTATTATTTTCATTGTAATCCAGTCATTTATTGTTCATTCAACCACCATTATGTCAATTAAGCTGTGATTAATTTTCTAAATGGCCATTGGGAAATGTCCTTAGAGTTAGAATAATCGCCATTACAATTCAACCTGAACAAATACATAACAGTGTTCGATTGTCCGGTAACATTTAGTTTAACAGATTGATTTCTCTTTCAGGATTAAAGGCAAGGCTAGGCAAGTTTATTTATAGCCCGTAAAGACACCATTACAGTAGTCGAGTCTACTGAAGATATTAAAAGCATGGACAGGTTTTTCCAAATCCAGCTGTGACATTAGTCTTTTAACCCTAGATATGCTCTTTAGGTGATAGTAGGCTGATTTAGTAACTGTTTTAATGTGACTGTTGAAACTTAGGTCAGAGTCCATGACTACACCTAGATTTCTGGCGTTATCTGTTGTTTTGAACATTGCTCATCGCTAACTTTTATACGTTCTGCCTTGGCTCCAAAAACCATTACCTCAGTTTGATCTTTGTTTAATTGGAGAAAGTTCTGACACATCCAGTCATAAAGATCAAAACATGAACAAAAATGCAGTATATAAACACAAAAAAAAGATTTTTGTTTTGGAAAAGTAGCCAAAAATCAAGGCAGCATGCATCTGTCTTGTAAAGTATGATAGATTTATTTTTGTTGAAAACAGTGACTTTAGCAACATCCCTCATTCAGTATCTCTGCACAGCTGTAGGATATATCTGTGCAAACTATGGATCAATGTATTAACCCATTCACATCCTCAAACACTAGTTCAATAAATGTACAACTGACCCAGGATCTGCATTGATGGAAAATGTTTCTCCACACTGGGCCACATTGATCACACCACCACTCTGAACCAGCCAGTGGTTAGAGGGCTCCACTGCTTGGTAATTATGTTCCAGTCCTTTGAGTGTGTGTGTGTGTGTCTATTGCCTCCTCTATGTTTAAGAGTGTTTTAATGTCTCTGTGTGGGTATAAGTGGCATGAGATGTGAGTCAGTGCCACGTCTGAATTGGGAAAAGTAACTGTCATGTACTCTGTACTTTTATATTCAAGTTCTGATGTAATCAATCTATTAATCTACAATTTTTACAGGTCAGAAACTGGAAAAATAAATGTTACTTTTACAGTATGTGACTTAAGTTCCTAAAAGCTATGCTAACATCTTGACCTAATAGCTAAAAATATTTTATGCATTGCAGAGTCTAATTGTTTGCAAAGCCGAGTCTGAAAAGCTGAATGTGACCCCCAGTGGCTTAAAGAGATCTATCTAATCAAAAACTAGCCACTGTAATGGAAAAAAATGATAGAAAAGGTCTGTATAAGTAACAGAATGGCATGTTTTCTGGCCTGAGCATCAGGCAAAACCTTTCAAAAGTTGTTAAGCACTTAACATGGCTAGACTTAAACTGGTGTTTCAGAGTTACCAGACGCAAAAACAAAACATTGGTTATAATTGGTTATATTTAAGATGAATTGCTGACAAAGTAGTTTTATTACGATGTGACATCTTGCAACACGCTTTTACGATCCCTAAATGCAGACATTTTGTTATGCCACATATTTTTACAGTATTTTACAGTCAACTCACTCATATAAACACACTTACACACAGGCGTCTGCACAGTGTGATGCCATAGTCAGAAATAGGATTGGGATGGCTGCTGTCCCTTTGGCTATTAATACACAGCTTCTCTGAGGTCATTGGCAACTCTCTCACACACACACACACACACACACACACACACACACACACACACACACACACACACACACACACACACACACACACACACACACACACACACACACACACACACACACACACACACACACACACACACACACACCACCCTGCCCAACACTCACCCTCCCTTCTCACTTTTACTCTAACTCAAGCTGTGTGTGTGTGTGTGTGTGTGTGTGTGTGTGTGTGTGTGTGTGTGTTTGTTTGTGTGTGTGTTTGTGTGTGTATTTGTGTGTGTGTGTCCATACCACAATTTAGCAGTCAGACTTTTTGTGGCCGAGAGTAAAATATATAATGTGCAAGCTGTTTCCTGTGTTTTGCCAGTCTGGCCTGTAGGTGGACAATTGCACCTTGTAGGACCGTGTGGTCTGAACAAGTGAAAAGACTGCATATTGCATAAGTGGATTTGAGCTTGAGAAAGGGCAGCAGTCTGGCCTCCTCAATGGCTGCAGGTCACACTGATATTCTAAGAGGAAAGCCCTTTGGCTTTAATTTCCCTTCACCACGAAAGTAACAACTTGAATCATGAAACCAAACAAAATTGTTATAAGTTAGTCCCATGTCATGGACATTTTTACTGATCATAATTCCATTGTTGAGGTCTACTAGAATAGATTTACATTGTTCAATGTTCCAAAATCACATTGGTTTTCTCATACAGCATATCTGTATATAGTATGTGTATTCACTCTCTGTCCTACACACCTTGTTGGAGCTCCTGCCCCCCCTCCCTATGAGCCCACTGTGCTCTGATGTGTCTTTATGTGTTACAATGGCGTTAGCAACCAGAAAATGACACCAGTAATGACAAACAGATGAGAATGCTGCGTGGGGTCTGGGTGCCGTGTTGGCAGGATGTTCCAGGGCTCGCTGCTCCGCCCTTTGAGGCTTGAGGAGCGGACAGTGTGAGCTGGATTACTGGTGTAGTTTCCTGGTTGCTGCGTGGGGTCTGCGAGACAGTGAGACACAGAGGAACTTAGCCTGAGCACACACATGTGAGTGTGTGGCGAACTGTGAGTGGAGATCCACGGAGCCGAGGCTGAGAAAAGATAAGGTGTGTGCCGGCGAAACTCCGCGGAGTAGCGCGGCTGAGATAAGATAAGGCTGAGTGAGTGTGTGTGTGTGTGTGTGTGTGTGTGTGTGTGTGTGTGTGTGTGTGTGTGTGTGTGTGTGTGTGTGTGTGTGTGTGTGTGTGTGTGTGTGAGGAGCTCCACGGATTTGTCCATTTGGACCTGGGCATGGTTACGTCACCATACTCAGGAAGAAAATAATGGAAAAAGAAAAATCTCCAACGAGGCGTTCTGGGGCAGCATATAGACAGGTCTTTTCTGTGTTAGAGTTGTACTCGCTACAGGGTGTATTTTGAGGGTTTGTGACTCTGCAGACCGTTTACATGCATAAAAAGCAACATAACACACAAGGGGACGGGTAATAACCGGAAAAGCATGACATGAGACCTTTAACAACATAGCTTTTTTTCTTTTAGATTTTATCCACATGGGTTAAAGAAGGATTTAATTTCCTAGAAAATCTTTGGTTTATTTTAAACAATGTAAGACTACTTAAAGCTGCTGTATACGATTACAGAAACGTAAGCAAATGCCAAAAACAGACAGGATAAAGGAATGGGTTGCACTTAAAAACAAAGGGGAGAACTGAACTGTATTTCCCCTCAGGAAGAAGTACTTGCATCCTTTTCCTTTAAACTAATACCACTTTGTACACAGCAACTTGTAAAAGTCCTGATTTAAAAAATGTTTTACCAACATAAAAGTAGTATTATTGGAAGAAGAATGTACAGTACTACAAGTGTTAAAAGTTGGAGTAATCATAATGAGCATTGCAATATCCTATTTCAAAATGTGATAGATATGATGTCTATAATTCTTAGATTATTATTACAAATGCATTTATGTGTGAACATTTTAATGTAGTGGGTGGTCAAGGTGTCCCTATGTTTAAGAAACATAAATGACCTAATGCATTTAAGCAGTATAACATCTGAATACTTTATCCATCACTTTATAAATGTAGGCCCTATCCCATAATTGTACAGATGAGTAAATGTAGTTTTCTATCCCTCCCTTCCTCCTCTCTTCATCCCAGTGTCCCTTTATCCCTCCATCCCTCCTTTTTCAGAGAGCACGTCAAGCTAGCTAGAGATACAATTAACAGGCAATACACTGTGCGTGGATATTCCACTAAAATAAAATGTCTCAATATAAATTCGTCATCCACCTGTTTTATTTTGGAAACCCTAACCGGAAGTAATTTATATTGACAATATATAGATTTTGACGCGGGACGTCCCTGTTGTTGCTCCCCGGTCTCACTGTGGATTTACATACCCTGATTTCCGTGGGACTGGGAAGCGAAAGAGTAGGGTGCTGGGTCTTTCAGGAACTGAGGAAACAAGCACAAACAGGGTTATTTAACAAATTCACAACTTTATAGACACGTTGGCGACCCTTAAAATCGTCGGAATAAGTTTCACGCTACTTTTCTGCACTTGTTTCGGCTCTCCACGGTGCTTTCGCTGGATTATTTCCCTAAAGTCTGGAGGAGGGCTGCGAGTTTTTCGGAGAAGCCTGGAAGCAGTTTGAGGTTTGAAGGGCTGTGGCCATGGCCGGGGGTGGTGGAGGTGGAGGAGGCGGAGGGGTTTCTCCATTGGGGCCAGCACCGCCGATGTGGTATCACCGGGACCTGAGTCGCGCGGCGGCCGAGGAGCTGCTGGCCCGGGCCGGGAGGGACGGCAGCTTCCTGGTGCGGGACAGCGAGAGTGTCAACGGGGCTTACGCTTTGTGTGTACTGTAAGTAACTTTATGGAAGAAAATAGAAGCTTGTATGAACTCTGAACTCGTGTGTGCGGCCTGCTGTGTTTGGCTTTATTTACTAGGAAAAGTGAGGAGCCGTGCCTATGTTTGCTTTATTGCAGTGGTGTAAAGTAGATTTACCCAAGTAGGCCTACTGTACTTTACTTCAATTTTCTGCTACTTTGTACTTCTCCCCAACTACCATTCAGAGGTAATTAGTGTACTTTTACTCCACTAAATGTATTTGTGAAATTGAACAACAAGTTTTGTTACACCTGGAGTAACTTTCACAAGCTACCCTGCAGCATACCAGATAATACAAATTAATTTGCATTAATAACTCTTAAATTAATCAACAATTACACCAGCATAATGAATACTTTTTATTTTGGTAATTGAAGTATATTTTGATGCTAATATTTGTGTACTTTTACTTCAGTAACCTTTTGAATGCAGGACTTTTACCTGTAACATAGTTTTCCTACTCTGTAGTATTTACTTTTACTCAAGTACTGAGTAATTCAAGATCTGAGTACTTCTTACAATCTCTAATTCATTTAACCTAGCACATGCCTTTAGGGAATCCCCACCTGGTCTGTCTTTATACCAACATAAATAAACTGTACCTGTACACACACTTTCCTGAACTGTTTGATTAAACTGTAAAGCTCTTTGAAGCTTTGGTAAGCCAGTGATCAACAGCCAAACTCATTTGTTTACTTTCTCCTGGAAGTCAGTGAGTGGCAGAGAGACTGTCTGTCTGCAAGGCAGTGAGACTCCAGCATGGCACATAGCTCCAGGCTGTCCCTCTCTGTCTGATGTGGCCGCCTGGAGCGCCGTTTTTACAGGGCTCTGAAACTCAATGTGGTGGAGGAAATATAAAGAGCTGGTGGAGCCTTGCAGATGCAGATGTTTTAATGTAAGGCTCATATTAGATCAGTGCAGTGGTGAAGCAGCTATTTATACGTACTATCTTCTGACCAGTGGTGTGAAGTAACTACTGTACTTAAGTACAATTTTGAGGGACTTGTACTTGAGTATTTACAGTTTTTACTACTTTGTTCGTATACCCTACTTCAATTCAGAGGTACATCGTTACACTAGTCTACATTTATTTAGTGCCTTTTGTTACTTTGCGGATATTGTTTAATGATGTGAAAATAATCAACCCTTCAAATTACTTTAGCAGCACTTGGAGTAAAATACCCTGCAGCATACAAAGTACACTTTAATACATCAATAATTATAATTAAAACATGTACTTTCTATAATACTGAAAGGGGCCAATCTGCATAGAAAGTACTGTTGTGCTTTAAGTATATTTTGATGTTAATACTTTTGTACTTTTACTTGAGTAACGATTTGATTGCAGGACTTTCATAGTATTTCTACACCCTGGTACTTCTACGTTCACTTAAAGGTAGGGTAGGTAAGAATGGAGAAACCAGCTCGAGTAAGCTAGAATTTGAAAGTACACAACCAAAAAAAATCTGCCCCTTCCTTCAGACTTCCTTACAGAGCCCCTCCTCCAACACACACGAACACACACATGACCAATGAGGGCACTAGATAAGTTTGTGCACGAGATGGAAGGATGACAGGCAGGTAGGCCATCCAATTATCTGCCACGGGCCGAGGCAGATAATTGGACTTGCTTTTTACAGCGCCACGGCTTCCACAGATGAAATATTTGTATGTATTTATTGTCAAAGCATTTAATGTATTCATTGCTATCGGGATGTTAAGAGCATTCCATGGAATATAACAAAAAGTGTTTCTGAAGTGAATTACCTATACCCTACCTTTAAGTACAAGATCTGAGTACTTCCACCTCTGCTTCTGACACATTATAAAAAAATGTAATATGAATCCATATGTCAGAGCTTTAAAGGGCCTGCTCGAGTCTTTCCTAAACTAAATGATGAAAGGCCTACCCATATTTACACAAGGGAGATTTTGTCACCAACTACCTCCATGCTCAGCCATCATCTAAACGACCTCACCACCTGCTGACTAGAGGAAAATGTAACAGACAGACAAGCTTCCAAACTTACACGATATCATCAGCATTTTGATCACTTGACAATGACTCAGGCAAGGCAAATGAACTGTGGAAAAGGGATGTTAAACTTTGAAAAAATGACTCACATTGCCCCCCCCAGCCAGTTCCCACACAAAGTTAAACTATTCAAACTGACTGCAGATAGATGCAGGAAATAGAAGGCCTACTCTGGTACTCCGACATTGACTTGACCTACATCCCCTATCTGATAGTTTAACCCATGCTGAATTTATTGTGTGTGTATACACACACACCAGGAGCAGAACATACTGTACAGTATGTTCTGCTCCTGGAAAAATATGTTCTGCTCCTGAAAAAAAAAATAGGTAATACATACTGTATTGCCTATACTTGTAATTGTTTTTTTATTGTTTTTTATTCTACTAATTCGTCCAACAAAAATAAATAAATAAGTGTAATTCATACACACAAAGATGAACAAAATTAGTAGAAGCGGGAGGGCTGAAGCATAGCTTATGGGAAGTAGCCCTCCCGTGAATCATCCTAATACAACATAGGCATTATTGCGTCAAAAAACGTATAGCAATTAAAGAGTACAAAGAAATAAAGAAAACTGGAGAAGAAAAAAAAGTTGGGGCAAAAAAAGAAATAAGAAGAAAACTAGATATTGGGTCATTTTCTGCACTTGTCAATAGCAGTTTCAGCTATCTTTTTTTGAAAAGGATAATACTATATATAAATATGTACACATGTACTTGGCAAATGAATAATAATAATATATGCATATACACATTGTGAACACTTATTTTCAAGTGACTTTTACATTCATATGTTCACACACACACAAAATATACATAAGCACCATATGTTTAGAAGTACACAAATGCACTCATATACAATTGATGACACTAAAACAGAAATAATTAGTTTTCATGATTCATTCAATCATTTATCTATTTCCTCACCATATTGTATTCTTCTAGGAGGACGGGCTAACTCTGATGTAAACACATTAAACCCCATGTCATAAATAAAACCAGAAAAACAATAAGCTTGCATCACCTTTTGGTTCCTGGCTTATTCAAATAAATACCGGTGGCAAATATCCATGTTCCCATTCTTTGCTGGATGCACTAGTAATTCAGTGGGTCACTCTTTGGCCAACAACATTCCTCACGACCATGCATCATCCATTTCCGGATTTTTTTCCCCCGCCTCTCCCTTCCTCTCCCCTTTCACCTTTCGTATCACGGACATTGTTTCATCTCAAAAAGTTTATTTTATGATACCTTAAGTTTGTCAAAGAAAGGCTTTAGTCAAACGTTGCTTTATGAACAGTGTTGATGCTTTTATCGAGAGGTTTTGCCTACACATACTGTAAAAAAACTGTATTTTGCCAAAGTAACACGTTATATGGTCTAGTGTTGTGAAACAAACAACTCCATCAATGATATCTTTGAGAACAGCAATGCCCCAGTATTTTTGCACAACCCCTGAACCCGTGGAGGAAATGATGTCATGGTCTGTGACTATGTGCGCTAATATATCTCAGTAAAATAAAGGATTTCCAGGAAGTCAAATCTGAATCACCAGGCGTGTGAAAAGCTTCCACACAAACGATGTTAGTCATAGTCATAGTGCGGTGTACTGGAGGCTCAGGCCTGATGTCTACACAATCATTCATTGAAAAATATCATAACGTGATTATGGTGGGATTTCTTTTTTTTAAGAGGATCCGTACCAAACGAGGATTTATTTTATTAAGTCTGTAGAATACTGGGTCTTCTCTGCAGCGCCACAATACTTATTCAGAATGGTATTTTGTCATATTACCAATTATTGTGCTTACTGCAATTTGGATAGTACTCTAGTCCACAGTACGATTCCGATAACATGATTAATTTGCAACCTTAGTTCCAAGCATGCCCTCTCGAAGTGTAAACAAATACGTTGTTTTTTTAAAGCGCTGAAATAATCATTTGTATTTAGTCCTACCATCATAAAAGTAGTATTGTTGGAATAAGAATGTACAGTACTACAAGTTTTAAAAGTTGTAGTAATCATAATGAGCAATATCCTATTTCAAAGTGTGATAATATTATGTCTATTATTCTTAGATTATTATTATAAATGCATTTATATGTGAACATATAGTGGGTGGTCAAGGTGTCACTATTTTTAAGAAACATAAGAGAATCTGATTTTAGACAAATTTCGTCAAGTCCTTTCAACTGCTTACCAGGTGACTTATACATGTAAATGCCAAATGTTATTCTTTTGACCTGAACATGACTACTAGACATGGCTTTACCTGGGTAAGACATGGGTTGACCTAACCCTTGAGCCTTACATACTGCACACTGACATGTGTACTAATTCTTAGGGATTTAGAGAGAGAGCGGTGTGTTCAGGAAGCGTTTGCACTCTGCTGTTGTCTGAGAATAGAATGGTGGGAACAGTGTTTGTGTTGGTGACTTTTGGCTAGTTTATCTTTCGGCCTTTGCCTTTCTCTTCCTCTTTACATACAACTCAGCAAGAGGTGTTTCAGATCAGGTATCTTCAATATTGTGTAGTATGTTCGAGTTTTATCATTTACTTCCCCAGTTTGTTCTTAAATATAAAATATTTGATAACATTTCTAAGTAAGTCATTTCTCCAATGTTTCCAGCTGCAGTGCCACACTTTTGATTCCAACAAGAGAGATTTCGACCATATTTTTTATTTAAGCATTGTGTATGCATCAGTGTGAAAACTGCAGATATTGAACTCTTTCGTATTTTTCCTGTCAGGAAGACGATCTTTATTATCAGCACGGCGCGTCTAAACATGTCACGGTTCAGGCATGGTCTTCTGTGTTTCTGTGTGTTTGAAACCTAGATGTTTCGTAGAAGACATTCCTCATTTCAGTGGGTGTTATAATATTACCTTGTGGAGTTAGTGGGTGGTTTAATGTATACTTTTTCTTTAAATATCT